CCCTGCGCCGGTGCAATTGCGTACCGCAAGCGATTACAGTACTCTCACGGCTAGTTCCGCTATCGTTGGCACCCTGTTTTCGATTGAATAACTTACGGGTAGAACTTGTGATGAGAGGAAATAATAAGACTAGATGACTTATATCTCTGGTCTAGCAGTTTTTTGCATATATCTTCGAGATGTCAGCAGTGAATATTTGTGGTAGTGGACATCAGATCAAAAAATTCCTATCTCCTATCCAGCAAAAGTAGGAAGCGAACACTGAACATAACATTTAATGCAAAATGATTGGAATCGTGAAGAACAGTTTTCCCATTGATAGCGCAATAGTAAGCTTTTGCCTCGTTAGTAAGAACTGCTACGAAAACTTCCAAGCAGAAGCTGTAAAATCCCACACAAGGTTGGCGAATAAAAGCGCCAAGTCATCATGCTCCTCCCCACCCCCTGCTGGTCCCCCTAGTACTAGGCTGTGAGTCTAGGGGGATGTGTAAGCAGTTTTCATTACCCTCAAAGTTCACCCTCTTCTCCAAGGCTCAGTCAGCGTGGGCATGCCCCTTTTGAGTACACTATCGCCTCAAGAAATTGATTCGCAAATATTCAAACGCTCTGGTTATACGAATTCCATTTTACGGCATCTCTTATTTGAAAGAATGAACATATCCCGTGCCTATCATCTACAAGTATGCGCTCTCACTTTCAGCACAAGTCATCCTCACAAGGATACCTCCGTATCAGATTTCTATGTCTATGGAAATATCTACAAGTGCTAATAAATCAACTAACAACTCGAAAACAAGGTGGCCGTGAGACGCAACTACTAAGCAGTTCATGATGAAAACTATCTCACGAATTAGAACTCTCTCTTCCCTCAGGTGCCAAGTAAACTTCGTCCCCTCGAGTCCCTCACTGCACTGGTACAATGCATAATGGCATCAATGATTGTTCTAGTGCGGAACATTATAAATACGCTAGCACATTACCCTATTTTGCATGTTAAGAAGTAAATGACATGAGGAATTAGAGTGGTTTCCAGGCGCGCAATGGTTTCCAACGATATGTAGAGCATCTCGGTACCCGTCACCTATCTGAGAATGCATGGCTCAGCTCAGTACAATATTCGGAGCTGGGCTAGTTATGAATAGATTAGTCTTCCCATTTCCTTTCATCACGAGCCCCGCGTGTGATCATCAGTTACAAATGTCAACGCCAGTAGAACTAGGCGTGGGTGTACTGTAATCGCTTGCGCTACGCAATTGCACCGGCGCAGGGTGGGATATATACGTAACATCCACTTGGCTCACAATCAGATTTTGTTCTTGCGCGGCGTTTTACTTCGAGGGTGTGACTATGCTCGGCTTATTTTCTTCTCTTCTAAAAATCTAGTGTTGAAAAACGTTATTTTCTAAGTTTTTCATTTGAAATCGTATAGTTTTTCGAATTTTTAAAAAGGAAATTGTGTAGGTTAAGCGCTTCATTGAGTGAGGTAGTTGAAAATAGGTGCGGTAACGAAAGTGTAAGCACCTGGGTAAAGGGAGTGTTGAGGAATCCACAGGGAGAGGATCGTATTTGACCCTTTTGGAGGGAATGGTCGTAAGCAATGGGTTCGGCACTGAACAGAGTTGTGGTAGCTTTTCAGAGAAGGTGGTGTTGAGTGTTCGCTTGTAGTCAGTTATCAGAAGCCTAATCAGTCCTTTGTGACTCGCCACGATCGCGTTGTCTTGAGCTGGTTCGTCATACGGAGAATGGCACGTGTGAAATTGAAGTAGTTTGAAGGAAGGATGGTATAGCTATAGGCCGCTGTATCAAAATGCGTTGACTTTACAGGAGAATTCGATTGTGAGGCACGTCCTAGAAAGGTTTCGGTCATAGCGAAACGTTTGTATTTCAATTCTTTATAAAGAAAGTTGAACCGGAGGCATCGCAGAGTTTGTGGGCGAAATGCTATGCGAGCGAAACATATTTTTTCAGTTGTTTCGTTTACATAAGGTTTTTCCCTTAAATGAGCGGCCCATTTATCAAGTCGAAAGACAATTTTTCCCTTCAGCTCTATGAACATGATCTTTTGAATTGGGAAGTTGCAAAAGGTTACACTTGGCAATGTGGAAATTATGTGGTTAAATGTGTTTCTGGTTTTGCACAGAGTTGTTAAAAAAAAGTTATGGTGTTTGAAAATGCGGAAACTCGAAAAGAAATGTTGCGCTCATGACCTTATGGAAGTGGGGCATTCAAAACAGGATTTAAAAACCGCTGGTAGGTGATACTGGGACTAAGCCCGAGAGAGGGGAGAAACGCCAGGCCTCTCTTATGCTTTATCCCAAGTTTTGTAAGTGGCTCACTCATTTCAGTGTCCCCACTCTAAGAACGTGAGCATTGAAAAGCCTTTGAATCACTTGGACACATTTCAGCGACGGTGGATCTCTTTAGTGAAATATTCACTTCCACGGATAAGTTTGATAATCATAGCAGGGTGCCTTTGAAAGTGTAAAAATCTTATAACCTGGAAATTTTCGTAATCTTTCTAGAGGAGAGCCATTTCTCATTTTACGGCACATCTTCAGCATTTTTTCTGTTTCTTTTCTCCTTTTTCGAATCGGTCTCCATAGAAAAGCCGCTGTTGTCGGAAATAGTACGATTCTCAGTTTCTGCTCCGACACAAAACGCGTTCCATTATTCGCATTGCTTCAACGCAGCGCATTTCTTCATGCGGCCTCCTGGTGTGTAGAAACGTTTAGGTAGTGCACGTAATCTTCATTCATGGGAAGGTGATATTCGGGAAGTGATCGCAACGTCATGCTGGTTCTGGCCTGTCTAGGGACTTCTTGAAGTGTAGCATCTCATTTTGGCCTAATTCCTGACTCTTATCTTTGGTTTGCGCAACTTCGATCGCTTTAATTCGTTCATGCCTTTTTTTAAATATTAGTTATTTTCTAAACACCTTTGATTTCAGATCAGTACGATATGTCATCCGACACTCAAAAATCTGCCATCATGAAGCTCGTGACCAACGATGGCGAGAATTTCGATGTGCCGCGAGATGTGATTCGGCTTTCGACCACAATCAACACTATGCTTCAGGATCTCGGTTTGGATAATGAATCTAATGATCCAATCCCGATATGTAATGTTTCTGGTCCAATTATGAAGAAAGTTCTGCAGTGGTGTACATTCCACAAGGACGATCCGCCAAGCACTGACGATTCCGACAACCGCGAGAAGCGTACCGATGATATTCCTAGTTGGGATGTGGAGTTTCTGAAAGTCGATCAGGGAACTTTATTTGAACTGATTCTTGCTGCAAATTACCTCGATATCAAGGGACTGCTTGATGTTACTTGCAAGACGGTTGCTAATATGATCAAAGGCAAGACACCGGAGGAAATTCGTCGCACGTTCAACATCAAGAATGATTTTACACCAGAAGAAGAAGAGCAGATTCGCAAAGAGAACGCTTGGTGTGAAGATTAAGACATGTCATTGATTGTATTCAACGAAATTTTTCTTTATCGTATAGTCGCTATTCATGCAATCATTTGACAGATCATTCTTTTTTTAGTTTCCGCCGCAATTATTTTATCACATTGAGTACCATGTTATCATTATGTTAAAGCAAACAAGTGATTTGTTGTTCAGCACTGATGCTCCTGATCAATGCTCGATAACTGTAACATTACTCGATGTAGAGCTCTCTTAAGGTTTGGAAAACAAGTATAATGATATGCCTACGTTGTCCAGTTTCCCGTTTCTTCTTGTACATATGAATAAATTTCAGAAATGTATTGGATACTTCCTCTTAAAGATGTTGTGCTTTCAGCTACTATGTAATAATGCTTACTGCCGTTTTTTACGAATCGTCCGTACAAGGGGGGGGGGGGGTATTGTCTCCATATTTACACACGCCAATTGACAATGAGCATCTGATTGTAAAGTGGCCCTCCTAATAAGGTGACCATGTTCACGTTGTGTCGTGTGACCGTGTGGCCCAGGAAATAGGGTTGCAAAGCGTAACGGGGGATTTGCTTCTTGTTAAGTTTCGGTTACTCAGATTTTGCAAGCATTTGGAGACGGTGAAGTGAGTTACATTGTAGCAGCAAAGAGGTCTTTAGAAATTAGTTCCGGCATTTCTTTCTCATTGACTTGAGGCAGGTGCCAGCAGCACCGTTACTGCGACCGTAATAACGTATTGATTTGATTACTGGGTAACTGAATGGGAATGGATTGACTGTATGATGCTTAATTTGATGTCAATTCGGAAACTTCTTTAGAAACCTACCTGCAGTTTTGTTACCCATTCCTTCAGGATAAAGCGTATATTCTCACAACACAACGAATAGTGGCGCTACTGCAAGAGAGGGACATTTCCCAGGACTGAGCCTAAAATTGGCCTAGGAGGGCGAAGAACTGCGAGGGGAACGGGAGTTGCTCACAGGTCGCTTCCTTCCCTAAGCGGCATCATGGTTGAAAAAGGCTCCCAACTACGTTACTCGATCATGCTTGTCTCGTAGCTGCTCGTAGAGCCTAACAAGTTTTGGCACTGCTTGTTAATGACTGCACATGGAGCCTGCAGAGTGCCGAGTACCCCCCCCCCCCAGGAGTGCCCCCCCCCCCCCAGGGCAAGTTTGGTCAAATAAACCACCGGGGAGTCGTTCCTCTATTTTGTTTCACAGCTCCGTTCAGAAAATTGATGGGCAGATTTGGAATGCGTGTTTAAGATCAGCTTCTGAAAAAATCCAATCATTTTTGCCAATGAGGATGATTGTCATCATTGTCCCGTGGAATGATACAGAATGTTGGAAAACCAACGTTGATGGAAGGATCACTATAAGCGGTTCACTTGGCCTGAATCGGCCCATACCCTGTCCGAAGCGAAGATATAGAAAGGGCGTCACTATTTCGCGTAATGTACGTGACTACGACTAGCACACCATCTCGATGCCTACTCCCGTCGGCCCGATCATTCAAACAGCTTAAATCTTCACAACTCTTTCTTTTCGAGGTTTGCCTTCTCAACACGCTCAGTGAGGTAGCTCTTGCTTAAGCGTTGCTGATTCTTGGAATTAAGGAACTTGTCGACTATGGAATTGACAGGGGAGCGGCTGTGACGATGAACTACGATGTTCTCACGAGGGTCCCCGTAGGTTCTTCTTCTAGAAAGCGTTAATTAACAGGAGTAGATCTTTTGCGGAAGCAGATGTTGTTTGTTTTAAAACAATAGACTTTTTGGAAGAGCTGGCAAAATGGATTAGGAGTCATGTCAGTCAGTGCTAAACAATTACCCCTCGAAGGCCAAATTCGGCGCTTATGTCGTTAGGAGTCATCGAAGTGAGTGAGCCCCTTACAACACTTTGGACTAAAACTTGAGCATTGAAGGAGTTTTGGGGGAAAACATGTGATTAACTTTTTCTGCCTGGCGTTTCTCCTCTCTGGCGGTTTATGGACTACCCTCGCCTTCAAATAACCAGAAATTGTGCAATTGCAGAAATTGACGTGGCATCGATTCAAGAACATCTTTGAGCACACGTGATGTCACCTTTTCATCGAGAATTTAGCCACGTGTGCCACGTGGATTTCTGGCTGCATGAAACGGAGTGTACTTGATTTTTCCTCAATGGTCCTGCCGCGATGGCTAGAGCACAGACGATTAGAGAACGGGTGAATGCCCTAGGACTAAGCCTTGGAGAGGAGAGGGACCCGCGAGAGAGCGCAGAGGCGGTTTAAAGGGCTGAGTTCAAGTAGTCCGTCGACCGCCCTTAGTCCTAGTGTCACATATCGGCTTTTTTGGGTGCTAACTTAGTTGGGGGGGGGGGGGCGGCGGCGCGGCAGTCTGCTCGCCTGGCATGTTCGGAAATCCGTGGGCCAGGGGGAGTGTAGGCAGTCTAGGGGGGGGGGTGGGGCAGTCACTTGACATGCGTGAAAAGCTGGAATGTTCGAGTTTACACTGTCTCGCTCGAGAGAGCCCAGGTGAGCAGACTGCCGCGCCGCCGCGTGCCCCCCCCCAACTAAGTTAGCACCCTTTTTTGAATGTCTGTTTTGAATGTACACCTAAGGACGTGAGCGCCTAAACTCCATTCACAACGAGGCACTGAGCAAAATAACTCCCAAAAAATTTCAGAATAACTCGCATCGGAGCAATTACTATTGCTATTCAAGTAGTAACTTTGAGAGTGTTTTAGCAAAGATGACAAAGAACGAAAACTCGTCTTCAAATAGCGGCGATGGTTCATACTTTGCAGAAGACGATATTTTTGAAGGTGGGATTTACACTCCTCCAGTTTCCGGCTTGCGTTAGCAAATTAACAAATTTTGCTACCCCCAGGTGCATCATTGCTGAATTTACCGGCCGTCATTGAACCCTTTACGTCGGCCACGAAAATCAAAGCTGAAGGCTGACTAGGATATGGTAAAGCTAAAAGACCGCGAAATCAATTTGCTGAAAAGGAGCGAAGGCATAGGGGAAAGGTAATTGAAGAGGACTAATTAACTAACAACTAATAAGCGATTCTTTGAAAGAAAAATTTCATTTTGTTCTAGAGCTCAGACGTTTGAGTCTTTGTTAACAAATCGGATCAATAAATATCAGTTCCAGGTCAGGAGAAGAGAGGAGAAGGAAAACGTTAAGAGAAAAGCATGTAGTGGAGGCAATCTCAAACTGTCAAGAGAAGAACGTCAGAGGTGAAATAAAGTTCCGCTTTTATTTCTGAGGAAGCGGGTTGTTTGTGAATTATTGTTGATTGTCAGATTGAAGAAAGCAGAATAAAATACATTTTGGTTGGGAATGTGTTGCTTTTCATTTGGTGTTTGGAGCACCGCTTACCTGTCGAATGAATATGTCGCACTGTTTGAACGTTTGTCAGCATGGAGGTGGAATAATTTTCCTATAAATGAGCTCACTATTACAATAGGGCTGGCGGCTTCTCCTTTAGTGAAGAATGTCAGCGATCCGTAAAGGGGTACAGCGACAGCTGTTCCAAACCGATGACGAACGACTTCATGCCATAGTGCACGTGGTGCGAGTTGATGGGCGTAAGAAGAAGCGCCCGACGTTCTTCTGCCTAGCAGGTCGGTTTTGTCTACTGTCTAAAGCTGTGACTCGGTTCTGAGCAGCCCGTTATAGTAACAATAGAGCACCCGATCTCGGTTCGGTTATATTTTGTGAAAGGAGAAAAGGATGACACTTTTAAAAAACGAACGAGGTTCTATCTTCGTGACGTCAAGGAAGTGGATGGGATCAATCCGAAGAAGGTGACTTGAAATTTTCTTTCCTCTTGTTCCTAACTTCTTATTTAATTGTCTTTATTATTCTGGTAGTTGTTAAGGCACTGTCGGAATTCCATATTGTGATTGGCGATCGTAAGTACAGCATTACAGCAAGCACCCCTGAAGAAAAGGACGAATTTATTCGGGAACTGTATAAGGTACGGTTGCTGTGGTTTCTATGAAATCTTCTGTCTCGGTTCGTTTTCTCCCTTGAGAAGGAAAAGCCGTCAGTCCAACCCAGCTAATTGACATCTACTGTACACCGGCCGATGCTTGTCTTTAGACAGGCGAGAACTGCTCTCCAAATCTACTGAACGATTCTTCGGAACGAATTCATGAACGTTTTTCCCGCGATATCTTATATGCTACCCTTAGCGAGGTTTCCTCAACTGCTCAATAGCCTTCGTACAATCATCTGAGGCAAGCGCTAATAAAGTTATGGTCCCAGAAGTCTAGCTATATCGCTAATAACAGCAAAGAAGCGAGATCATCAAGGGGTGCATCCATTGATTTCCTGCGCTGGATCACTATGGCTGCGCTTTTTCGCTTCATATTTTCGTTTAGAGAAGCATCAGTAGGTATGGAGAGCAATTCTGAGCTCAGCGTCTCAGCTTGAATGTAACGGTACACATCCATTTCGGTGGACTGGCTTAACCTGATGATCATTCTTTGTGAAATGCCAGTTTAAATGCGTCATGGTCATCCAGAGATCTAGCATTCCACTGGCATCTTTTTATTATTATTTGTTCATTGCTGAATTCATCATTGCTGAATTACTATGAGGCATCTTAGTACTGCAGTTGTTTAGTTATCTGCGCAATATCTTCCTGTGCAAATGCCTGACTTTTGTAATGTATCTATACCGATCGACAACCGTGAGATGTCCATTCTTCCCATAGAAACGGCAGACGAGGACAGCACGGATTTCATACATGATTATCAGGTCTCTTTCCAGTATAGTCTGTCATTGTGCCGAAGTTTGTAACAATACAGACACGTATGGTAGTTATGATTTTTTGGGAAGTATGTTTCTTACCTTGGCATTTGCATTCGTTAGTGAGCATTTTTCAGCCTGTCAGCGCCAAAGAGGAGGCTGATTTTCGGCGTCTACTCGCGAAGGCTGAGCTCACCATTGGGGAGGCGGACAAGTTTGCTGAGGTGTGCATGATGTTAAAAGGCCTTTCGTCATTACTTTTGCTTCTATAAACCATGGTAGTTGTATATAATACTTGAAACTTGGTTTTAGGTCCTGTCCTCTCAATTGCAATCACTTGATGGAGCGAATATTCAGTCAATGATGGGAAGTGAGATGGCAGTGAATCAATTATTAACCCTTCTCGATGGTGCTCTTGATAAAGTGGCATTGCTGGAAAAGGAGATCGACACATGCGATGCAATTCTTGCGGTTTGTGGAAATAACTAATTGCTAAGTAGAGGACTGGCGCTGTTAGCGTGTTTGAGCCCTGTATTAGCGATAGTCATTTATTGTTATTTTAAGCACTTTTATCCTAATCAAAAGAAGCGTCACGTCCTGTTCTCTGTACGCTGCTCTTACCTGGAGTATCATATCCTCTTAAACTGCGTTCAAAGGGGTAAAAAAAAATCCAGCTCTCATAACAGTTAAGCGAGTCCGTAGATAACAATCTTATTCTGCCAATTCCTTGTTTTGGCAGGTATGAGGTACCTATCGATTGCACAGTTATGGTATTTTGCGATTATGCGATTCAGCAAACTTGCAAGACCACTTTGCATTATGATATTTACCGTTGCTTTACCATGACTAGAATGAACAGGCATTCGATTGTAATCTTGAGAATAGGGTGGTGAAACCATGATGTAAATGACTCGAACAACTCCTCTCGAGTAGAGGTACTGTGTTACGTGAGAGGCCTGGGTTCCTTCTCTCTTTCTTTTCTTTTTTCTCTCCTTTTATTACACATGCAGAGATAGATTTCCAATTTGGCTTTGATCAAGATTCATCCACGAGAGTATGCTTAAACTGGTCTTTTCGGAATAAAAAATGCAATAAAGCTTTTTTTTCACTTGCTAAAGTGACAAGAAAATACCATAGACAGGACCATGAGGGGAACACCTACCCCTTATCTGCGCTGGCGACGTTGGCCTTTCTTGAAGACGGAGTAGAATAGGTGCTTTGATCGTTTTCAACCTTATGTTGTGTCGTTGAGTTTGTGGACATTATCAGTTGGATCAGCTTCGCTGTTTTCAGCACGTGAGGAACAGCGTGGAACTCATTGAAGAAAAGGATAGTTTATCTGCTGTTGAACGCAAGAACAAAGACAGGCTTCAGCAAGAGTTGACTGACTTCGTTTCTTCTCTGAACACTGTCACTGATGAGCATATTCGAACTTTGAAAGAGGCAAATTTGAACGATGCGGGAAGGTATGAAATTTAGTAGATTTCCAGTTTCTTTTGAGAAATCTGCAAAGCTCATTGTGCAAGTGTGGATTAAGTTCGCACGTCAAATAATTTCTGAAATAGGGAAGTTTTAAAAGAGTTTCTATTCTTTGCTCTATCGGCAGTACTTCGGACTGAAATGATTCTCCAAAGTTCACTCGATTCCCCATAATTTTGAGGCACGAGTAGCATGCTCACGCTATTTTCCAAATCAAAGACAGTGAGTATTTGGTGTTGAGAACGTTTGAAAACAAAAGTGCAACTTATAAAGTGGAACCGGCAATGTGCGTTGAAACCGTCAAAACCATTACCCTCGTTGTATCTATTTGAAAGGATTTATGTATTCAATTCTGTTCAATTGCTTTGAGTTTGGGATTTCTCATAGTTATTTCCTCGCTTGTATTCTTGACCTCTTTTATTCTGATTGGAAATCCTATTTCATCCCCAGTAGTGGGCAGCATCAATTAATGTGGAAGGTAGAAAACTCGGTATGATTATTAGCACATAGTTATCATTCTCGTGTAGCATCAAACAGATAATATTGTATTGGATTTTCTGATTTCAGTATCGCCCGGTGTGCTGAAGCTGCACGTGCGGTTTCACAGTTCTGGAATGGGTGTATTTCCAAACCTCTTCTACAAATGAAGGCCTATGAGAAACGCAATCGTGATCTGGCTGTTATAGATTTGTTTGTGGACCGATTTATGTCTCACCTTTCGGCAATATTCAATAACCTTGTGAGTTTCTACCTCTTTTTTCCTAGCAATGCAGCCAATGTTTTCTTTCCTTTGGAAGAATCAACTTCCAATTAGATCCCATTTCCATGTTGCAGAATGACTTTTCTCTTGGCCAAGACTGGCATGCTCTCTCGATTCCGAAACAGTCGCAACGATTCCATGCACTGTCCCCTCTATCAGACCTCATCAGTTGGCTGAAAGCGAATAGGTTCGTTTCGTTTTTCGATTGTTTTCTATTCACAAGCTGATTGGATTGTGAGTGGGAGCAAATGTGCAAATCTCAATCTCAGAAGCCTGAGAGAATTGGATAAATTCTATTTTACGTTCTATGGGGTTTTCTGATAGAATGAATTTCCAGGAATTCCCAACAACCGTGATGTTAGCTCTGTAATATCGCAAGTGTTGTACCATACATCTTATTGTGAATCTTTGATCTTCTCATTGGCATTATCGCCATTGAATATTTAAGAATAAATCAGTGAGCGGTGGGGCGTGATGCGGGTATGCAGTTTGGAGCGTGAATTCCTGCTCAATTTTTTGCTACATGTTCTGCTTATCATAGTACGCCTGCTTGGTGACACGCAACATTTGAGAGGCGTTACGGCGCGCTCTGAGCTGTTTGTATGCTCCTGTGTAGTGCGGGGGCTATCCGATCCACTAATGTGACATGCTTAGCATTGGCTGTAACAGCTTTCGTGTCCGGCCAAACCTGCCTATTTACGGTCGAGTGCCATATGGTTAACCATTACGTGGTAGGTCAGGGAATACTCCTGCTTCTTCTTGTCGCTTAGTTTTCTTTACTACGAAATCATTTTGTCTAGGGCGGTGAGCTCTCCTATATCAAACCAAGGTGAGACTGTGTCTAGGAGACTCGGTTACTAAGATGGCAGGCGGAAATAATATGACCCGTCAGTTGAGGTTTCACGCCTCAGCTAAATTGTCTCCATGTCCTTGTGACTTTACCGAAGTATAAATCGAGCGGTGGAGGAGGGTCAATAAAAGACAAATGTCGCCTTTGGTGCCGTCGGGGTTTACTCTAATGCGGAGGCATGGTTGTCCTCTATAGTATAGAAGTCCCAGGAACTGAGTGTAAAAGCAGAAGCACGTTGGTTTTTGCATCCATTGGATTTCTTCTCACTGCGAGTGTACTACTGTGAACGGCCCGAACAATCGTACCATATGCCATCCTCTCAATTCTCATTGGAATAGAGTCTAAAACATTTGATTGAGCTGGAATTATTTGCCGTTCGTTTCTTTTCTTTTCGGCTCATGGCTGTTCGACTTTTTGCTGATTATTTTCGAAGTTTATGATGTAATCTGCTGTATATTTGTGTACAGCTTGTGCCTTTGCTTCACTGCGAGCTTAGACGTAGCCAAAAAGGTATTGCCAATGCTACATGAATGCAAGTTAGGCTCGAAACCGAATGCTGCTGCATGTACTAGTAGCATCGACGAGGCGGTGAGGGCACACCCACAGAGAGAACGGTGCGAGAGCGTTTGCTAATTAATCATGCGCAGTTGTTTTTGTTCGGTTTCAGTAATAAGTTATGTGTGAAATGAAAGCGGCAGATAATTTTCGCTCAACCTAGTACTTTGGAAGGGAGAAATCGGATAACAACAGCGAAAATCCCGAAGTTTTCGTAAAAGTTCTATAAAGTGCACAAAGTTGCACGTAGCTCCACAGTAAGTTCTCAAACTTCTAGTTAACAAAATTGTAAGTGATCGTCTCCAAGAATGCCTACGTACTGTAAAGTATAACCTGTGCTGTTGTTACCGGTGGTAGAGTTGAACAATTTTTACAGCTGAATTATCATTGAATTGATTGGCTTTTCCAGACCAACACCGTACAACGCGGCGATCCAGAGATATATTGAAGCAACAAAAATACTATATAAACGGCACTTTGAGACATTTTTCGATGCTGTGATTGGTGAGGTACAACGATTGGGCTCAACAGATAAGCGATTAAGTATGCAGTTTCTTCATTAAATTTGTCTTTTCTGCGTTGATTCAAATGAACGAGGGCAGGCACGGAGTCGTCATAGAAGTGGGCGCTCATGTGGTTAGGGGGAACTTGAACTAAAGGAGCCAATTATAGAACTTGGGACTAAGCCTTAGGGAGGGAAAGGGGTTTCAGGGGAGGACGTGAGCAACCTTTGTTCTCCCTGGCGTTTCTCCCTCTCCTGGGCTTAGTCCTAGTGTCACCATTCAGCGGTTTTTAGATGCACTGTTTTTAATGTCTGCCTAACGACATTATCGTCACTGTAAGGCTGTTGTCAGAGTCGGCGATTCGTGACAGGTGTACGCGATTCACTCGACGGGTCACAAAAATCACAAGTGCCCGATTAATACTCCAATTCCGCCGCCATTTCTGCTTGATGGTGATGGCTGAATGACGACTGTTCATGATTCTACTTGTTTCATATTCAGTGTTTCAAATGTTCAAATGGGGCACTTGCGATTTTTGTGATTCATCGCGCAAATCTCGCCAAGCCTGCGACGATCGCGGACTCTGACACCAGCCTAAGTTGCGACAATTTTTCAAATTCATTTTAGATTCGTCAAATCTATCTAGTAAAAGTTCCATGGATAAACAAAGCTTTTCAATGAGTGAGCTTTCTGCTGATTATGCTCAGGTGTCAGCGGTGAGTTTTTAATACTGCTTGTGCTACTTAAAATATCTGCCTACATCGATCTCCCATTCAAGTGTAGACATGCATTCTTTCAGTTAATCGAAACTGTGCTTGGAGAATTAGGCCCGATTATCGAAATGGAGCAGAAATTCTGTGTACGATTTTTCCACATTAATTCGGAACTCCTTTCAAATGCTGAAACGACATCCACAGATAGCGGCGATAGTTCAAGTATGAGTGAGTTTTCCTTTCGAAGCTCATGTTTTGTCTGTATTACTGTCTCCTCTTATTTGTAAAAATCACAGTAAATAGTTTTTTGTGGATGTTCTGTGTCATGAAAACCACTGTTCAAGTAGTTGTTCGAAAAGCCACTACACTCATTTTCATCTTTTTGATATTACAGTGTGCTTGAAGTTTCCGTAGTTTAGCTGTGAAGGGGAAATTGCGTATTATTATTCCGAATCATTTCCTGCGCGTACCTTGTGTAATGCTCCTTTTTGAGGCGGACGAAACATGGAACGGTTTATGAACGAGCAGGTCCGCGCGGTTATGGCTCCACTGTTCGAATCTTTGAACAGCCATCTCGACCGATTTTGCAAGGCTATTTGCAAGCAAAATCCGAGGTGAGGTACTTGAAGTGTTTTTTTTTCTATCGAATGAGAAAATGGTGAAATAATCAACAGATTTAAATTGCTGAGGTGTGAGTTCACTCTGTCTGATGCGGATAATACACGATTTGCTATTTTTTATCCGAAGAAGGGTTTGTAAAGAGTTGCTTTTATAATTTTATTGCAGTAATGTGATGCTGCTGTTCATCATAATGTCGAAGAAGGTCTTGCTTCCACAAGAATCTGGGTCATATTATTCTGTTACCTTTGGTACTTTTGTGGTGCTGATAAAACGGCAACTCGATCTTTACATGGTGAGTTTGGGATTTACTTCGCTTCTGCTTTCTTACATTTTTTCTTTATGTCTCCTGGTTTCTGTAATATCATAAACACTTGATTCAGTGGGATCTATTACCAATATTCAATATAGCGGTTACTAGCGAAATTAAAATTTGATGATGCGGAAGAACATGTAACCATTGCAGCATTCAATCTCAGTGTCAATGTTATAGCACAAGCTTTCAAGGCTTGACAATACTCGCTTGTTGTTGAGTGTGGTAAAAATCCACCGTTACTGGATGATCTATTCAGGAAACAGAAGGCATGGCATTGTCCGATATAAAAATCTCAAAGCGGATGCGTCTTGGTATTTTACCAACAATCGAAAGATTTGCCGAGTTTGTGAGGAACGCGGAAGCAGTATTTGAAGGGGCCGAACGGCGAACGGATCTGGAAAAGTGGTCAGTTTGGAGACTCGATTTTGTGGATCTTTGGGGTTGAACAGCTCTAGCTGCGTTAATGTGCTGTTAGAGGTTTTTTGCTGAATGCTGAATAGTTTAGGTATACACATTTGTACCGATGTGTTTGCGAAGGAATAGAGAAAGCCGCGTCTAATCCCAACAGCAAGTCGCCAACTGCTGTTGTCCGCTTTGAGAATTATCACCAGCTGTACTGTAAGTACTTGTGTGTACATATCTTGAACCCCAGTCCTAAGTGGGAATTTGTTTAGTGACTTTGTCAGAATTGAAAATCCCTTGCTTGGATGCACAACGAAAGGATGCGAAACGGGAAAAGGAGGAAAATATCGACTTGTACGTTAGGGAATATATGGGTCGACCACTTGAGAAGATTCACGTAAGCTTTTGTGTTTGTTAGTTCTTAAAGACGCATGCTACGATCGAATGAGTGTCGTCTATCCATTTAAAAGCGCAGGAGGTGGACTGTGGTCGACCATTAACGAAAGAAAACGGAAAAGTCGCTAAGAGCTCTTGAAATCACTTTGCCGCTGGTCATGGCCGCACCAGCTGGATTACTGGCGCTCCATTGATGAGCCCCATTCTTCGTATGGCAGAATGGGTTAAAATACTGGAAACCAAGGGGCGCAGGTAATCGGGCTAGCACCATTCAAAGGTCGGCGCTTAATGTGATTTCAAAGGTTCTTAACAGTTTTGTTTCCTCTCCTTCATTAGAGGCTGGATTTTTCACAGTTGTTGTTTTGCCGTACATTTTCCTCATTTTTTTGTGGACTGGGTGCGTAGGCCGATGACTTGCAACAAATAACGGCTTGTGTAGGAGTATTTAGTAGCTCTTGAAGTAAAATCGGAGGAAAATATCAGTGACAAATCTTGAGTGATAGTCAATGCAAGCGACATTTTATTTTTCCGCTATAGCGTCCAGTTTGCACATAGTTGCAGTTTGCTTTTTAGCTCTGCGGTTGAATCTTCTTGAAATGTAGCAGTCTTCTTGAAATCTTGTTTCTTTCCAGGTATTTTTCGATGCTGTCCAAAACGCCATTGAAATGCGAGGAACGAAGCCGGAAGAGATTTCTTATCAACCTCAGTTCAGTCGCATTGAACTGAAGAAGGTGTTTATTGCGTCAAAAATCTTGCATTCAAGTAAAGGCTTTTTGTGAGGCTGGGCCAGCGTTTTTAATCAACTTGTATTCAGGTGATTGCCATGTATCCGGGTAAAGAAGTGAAGAAAGGATTAGAACAGTTGTACAAGAAAGTTGAGAAGCATTTAGTGGACCACTCTTCTTTGTTACAAGTCGTCTGGAGGGAAATGCAGGTATGAGTTGTTAATAAACAGTTTGACTTTCGCACCAAGGCGCGCGACACTACGGGTTTCGGCGACTATAAACAGATCATCGGAATTCTGTCATTTTTCGTCAGCGATTAATTGCTTTTTTCCCCGGCGTCCGGGCTCTTTAGGGATCTGATGGATTTTCTATTTCAATTCACTCATCAACCAACCACTTGTTCTCTGCTAATTCTTGTACCTTTTTCGGCATTCTAAAAATCTATTGACAAAATTGTGAAATTTTGTGAAACCATCTCTGCTGGGAGCATCCTCTGTTTGTCCTAGGCAGAGCCAAGCCCACAAGGAAAACCCTTCAGATCGTCATGGCCATTCAAAATGAAATGTACATAAATTCCTATTTGCTCCTTCGAATGCTGATTTTAAATCCGTCTTCCAAGTTTGAACTTCGGAAGGACTCGATCTCACGATCTCCTGCAGAGTAAAGTCCGGGCCGTTACCGCTGTGCTCTTACGCTTCATAACTCCATTTGGAAGATCGTTTAGCAGTTTTGGCAGGGAGATTCAAGATCAGCTTCAAAGCGCATCTGAGAGTATATATCTCATCCCGAATGGCCTTCACCTCAGGGCTTTTTCTTGTCGGTCATGAACACCTCTAGACATCACAATCTCTACCCATCCTTTCTTCTGGTCTCTTAGCTGTTTCGGAAACGAACATGCATTTTTCAGTAAACTTTGCTCACTTCAGAAAACTCAACCCTTTCCCACCCGAGGTGGTTCTTCTTCAACTCTTTCATCACCATGTTGCTCACTCATTTCCATGGTATCTTGGCAGTTATGGGACTGACAATGAGTTAGGAATTTATCTCCGGCTTATACATCCTTTTGCAGGCTAGGTCCATTATAGACAGGGTTCCTTATACAGTGCGCTTCAAAAGTGTTATATATTGGTCCCTCTGAAGCAGCTCAGCACGCTCTGAAACGGTACTCTGTTTTATTTCAAGGACCACTATGAGCTGCAAACATTAATAGTGGAATTGAAAAATGCCCCCTGCTTCAACAGTATGAGGGCCCTATGGGCAAGAGGATTTTGATGTTTTCTTCCTGTCAACTTATTCGCTTATGTGGCCACATTCAGTGAAAGCACACTGCCCCTTCAGTGCGACTAGATGATTTTAGCTATCAACAGAAAATAAACATTCGGATGGTACCGCGACGTCTCCATGGCAGACCTGGGGTCTCCCACATATTATATACTGTCTACACCAGTGAAGGTCTGCCTCACAGTAATTCTCCAGACGCGTTCTATAGGATTTACATCCGAACTGCATGAGACTAATCCAAGCAAAAACATCCCATAGTCGCTGGACTCGGTTCGACGCGATGGCTAGCCGGAGAGAGTACAGCTCTGTTGCACTATGCAGCTCGGCCCATCTATGATTCGTGACCGAAGTCTGTCCGTGTGAAGATCAGTGGTTTTTTAAAGATACGTCCATCAGCTGTGAGCCCGTCTCATTTTGACGGAAAAGAAAAAAAATCGGCCTGTCTCATTTTATTGGAAAAGTTAACCCGAACTCAAGAGAAGCTTGACTGGTCACCTGAGTGAACGTGCCTCTCTAAACCGTACAGCACATGTCGAGCCCTTCTCCATGCTCATATTCATCTGAGGCGAGTTGTTCCATGGAGCTCATCCAATCAAGGGGTCTTCATCATGGGCTCTCGCATATTTGCAGTTGAGTTGGCAGTTCTCCGATGACGATTCTTGAGGCAGAAAGCAAAAGTTCATCACGAATTCGGTTGCTGGGATGGTAGAACTGTGAAGCGGTGCTGGACATGGTTCCGTATTCGCAAAGTGGCGACGACTGAGAAAAAGAGCGGACCCTGCGACTGCGCGGGACTAACGCTAGGGAGAAGAAAAAGATGTTCTCCGTATTCGAATGAGTCGTGGTCTTCCAAAAATTCACCTACTGGTGCAGAAAGCTGGGTTTCCCACAAAAGTGTTAATAGAGCCAGGTGACTCGTTGAGCAGCTTTGAAGCATTTGACTTTTGCACGAACTTGTTGTCAGGTAGAAAACTCAGATCAGGCCCATTGGAGATGTAGTGTGCTTCTACTAAACATGCCCAATCACAAACGAGTTGGAAAGCGTGAGGGATTTCTCTGAATCCTCTTGTCCAGAGTGCCCTTGTCCTTCTGGAAAAGAGGACTTCTTGAATTTTCTCGTAAAAATGGTCGTAGCTCGTAGTGCTCTGAAATAAAGGAAACTAGTTTCGGGACATGATGGATTTGATTAAGTTGGTTGCTGGCCATGAAACCTTTATATTAACTAGGAACTGCTGTTGTCAGAGGTGCTTTATATTTTCGAAACGCACTGTAGCTTATTCATGCCCTGTACATCTCGGTTCATGCCCCACCCACCCAGACCTGACCCAGCTTCTCCAACTAATTCTTCATTTTGATGACAAAGGTCCTAAATCAGATCCTAAAGTTTAACTTTATTCTGAGTCAAATCTCAGATTTCTTCCCTTCTTTTGTCCTAGGGGCTAACGTTTCTTTTGCGATAGGGCTAACGTTTCCCTCCGTGAACATTATGACAATCATTTATGGTCCGAGTGCAATTATGCGCCATTTTGACGTCACAGCTTTTTCGCTGGTAAAGGTAAAGTGGTAGGATGGATGTCTACGTTAGGCCGATGTCAGACTTTGCGACGAATGTTCGCTAGCGTCCGCGGTCGCGCTGAATGGGATTCGCTATTCGCGACGCAACAGCGTACGCTAGCGAATCGCTCGATTTGCAAAGTCTGACATCAGCTTTATAGAAATTGTCTGGCCTTATTGTTAGTCATGGATATGACCTCCATTTTAGCACGAGTGCCATTTTCGCCATTCTGGAGATGCCAACCTCAAATGCAAAGGTGGTCGCTATGACAACTTGAGCCTCAAACCCCTCCCCTGTTGTGCTAACGCGAACCCAAAACGTTACATGCTGCATTGCTCAGCCGTAGCAACCGTCTCACATCACTCAACTCAGAACATTTTTCTCAGCAATCATGGCTGCAGTTCCTATACCGATCAGTGAAGTTTTAAGAATCGCAGTTCTGAATAGAAAAACTCTACACCTCTCTGGCTATTCACCCCGAGAAAATGAAACTTGCAACCGTATTCCAAACAGGCATCCCTTCAGAATTCAAAAAAAAATTCGGAAAGCGTTTCTTGTCCTGAATGACACCCCAGCGAGTTCTGCAGTGAAGCACTTTTACTGGTTATGAAGTAATAGTTTGGTTTTCAGGATCAGTTCCTCAAACAACTCCAAGGATATCAGCGGTTAATGAGCGCTTGTTATCCTGGTTCAAAACTCGAATTGGAGGTGACCGTCCAAGATGTTCTTAGTTACTTCTCGGATATTGCTCAACAGCATTAGAGACATCTCTTTCAATTTGAGATATGTTGTACAGTACTTTTATTGAGAAGTCTATCAAGTACAGACGAGCATTTTCAAGGAAAGATCAGTGGAAGGGCATATCCTTCTTGTGTATTTTATAATCTTCCTATGTGCGATGTAATATTTCCCAACGTTTCGGCCATTTAGCAAAACTGGATTTGAGTGAAGAGAGCTTTACACGTTGACGACAGCGTGACGCGGTAACGCGTCCCACCCAAGTCATCCCTTTTTCTTGCGCTTGTGCGACTTATTCCTAAGGTCTTTGTACTCATTCTATAGGCCATACATTAGCATACTTAAAAACCACATGGCTCACAGAAAGGCCAAATATTCTTTAGTTTGGCAGAGGTTTTCCAGACCTTACGGATATGTCTGTTCAGTTCATTCCTCGTTTTCTTTTCATTAACGTAAACATGTTGATAAAAAGGAATAATAGAAGCGAATACAAACCTATTCGTATGGGAAGATATGTGTTTTTACTGAAACAACCACGTCCAAATTAATTTTGGAACCACTAAAGGGAAATTAAGTAAAATTTCCCTTTTCATGGCCTTAACACGTCATTTCGGTCAAACTTCCATTACTGTAACTCCTGATAAGCTAGACAGATCGAACATCATTGAAAACATTTCATCGCATCTAAGTATTGCGTATTTACAGCTCAAAATCCATGGATTTGGTGTGCGGCGGCTGCGCTCGCAAAATCGCTCTTGTCCCACGCGGTGCAAAAGCACAAAACGCGCGATGTCGTCAACGTGTTAAGGTTACTGTCCGGTTGGTCGAATAGCTCCTGTCCTGGTGAGCGTGCGAACATGCAAGCATTACATGGCCTAGGCTTGGCTCAACACCCAATTGATGTATAATTTTGTTCGGAAAATTAGACGAGAATGCGATGAGGGACGAAAGAGCGGAAAACCCACGGAATTTTAGTAGTGAGGTCGGGCTTGGTATGACGGAGAGACACAGGCAAACGCCAGGTCCGCCGAGATTGGTAGGCAAGACCTTAGCCGTTGCAGCGAACTTTTAAGTCGCTGCATTGTCGCGGCTCCTGAGCTTGGAGACCCCTCTTTCTCACTCTAGGAGGGCTTAGTTTCAATCCGTGGCTATAAGCCCTGAATCTGAACTCATTGACCGGGCTTTTACAATGCGTGGGAAGAGAACGGGATGAGATGTTTTGAGACTGACGATCTAATAGGAAAAATGTGACAAATTTTCACATCAATTTCAGACCTCATTTTGAGAGAGCGATACGAAAACAACTAGCACGTTGAAAATAATTTCGTAAAAGGAAGGCTGAAGGAAAATAATACACTAGAAATGCTGATTTTCTTTGGAAGTAAACCTCGTCGAATAGAGCTCGTTGTACTTGATTTGAATTGAATGTATTGAATGTACAGTGAGATACGATTTCTAGAGAATACATATTAGTCATTGTTTTGTGATTTTTAGTTCGTTTTTGATTTTCAAACGGTGATATTCTCGATTGCTAGGCTTTTGTTATAACGTAGGAGCAGAAATGGTATCAGAGTTACGCGGTTTATGGCTATGGGATGTCTACGTATTGCCATGGAACGAGAACGATGTGCTCTTTCAGCTTTTCTATGAACTTTCGCATCTTTAATGACGTCATTGAGCTTGTGGCGACACAGCATCGTTTGCTTGATATTTATTTAATTTATTGATTGCAGGATTTTGATGTTCTAATAAAACTACTACGACTTTTTGAAAACTTTTTTCAAAACATTGGAAAAATGGGTAAATTGCACCCATTGTATTGAAAGCTGATGGTGAGCAAGCCGTAATAAAATCATAATGCGGTTTTCAAATTTAATCAGACGTTAGACCATGTGGATTGCTTGAATAGCGTTTTTACTGGAAATTTTCTAGCTGCACTAAGACACTGTCTCGCTTGGGCAGTGGAACTAAACAGACTACTTTTTTTTGAAAGGGGCGAGTCTCTTTGAGGCGTGCACAGGCGAGGTAGGAGGGAGAAAGCAAAAAAGTCATTCCGCCCATGGCGTAAATTCAGAGTGCCTGCCGTTCGATGAAGTTTACGGCAAAATATTGCATAATTGTACCCTCATAAGCACGAGTAGACCCTGTCTTCAATAGTTCCAGAATATGACGCATTTGCCATCACCGTCGAGCTCAAGGAGGCCTACAGTACTCCCTCCAGCCTGAAGCTGCTACATAATTTCTTCAATCGGCTAACTGATGGATAGCTTCCCAGCAGGGTGAATATCGG